TATTTTATTTTGAACAATACATTTTCTAAAACATTCAATAAAATATAATATATGGTGTGTATTTTGATACCATTATAATATTTTATGTGTCTTATTATCCAGCCATAAAATGTACAAGCTTTATCGCTGAAGTATTTAGAAGTTAAAATATATTATAAAAACCATTATGTGTATAATAAAATATATTATTTATAGATTATCTATTATTGGAATGTTATATGCAGTTATGCATATTATTATGCACGTTAAAAGCTATTTCCCCTACCCTGGTGGCTAGCATCCAAATTTTCGATTTTTTTGATTTTTTAACTATTAATTTTACGATAATTTATGCCAATTAATACATCCATTTTAGAATTTGAACCTCGATATTTTCCCCTAAAAATTAAATTTTTCAAAAACTACCAGTGGGTGAAGAACATTGGCCCGAAAATCGTCTTGAATATCTCACTGTATGTCTGTTAAATCATATCTGGTTTCTCAACCAGGATTAGATAAATTAAATTCAAAAAGGTTGTAAGAAATCAATAATATTTTTTAATAATGAAATGTACTTCAAAATAAACCTTATAGTTTACTTAATTTACCTAAGTTTTACTAAAGTTATATGTGCGAATAATACAAATTATACCAACTACGAAGTATAATCAACTATAAGTACTTACTAAAATGTAACAAACATTGTCTCGTATGATATTTATATTGAGTGTTCAGCATATATTATACATTAAATTAAATGTAAATATCTATTTATTTTTTCACTTCAACAATTTTAGGTAAGTACCTACTAATATTAATTTTTAATTAATTTTTAAATTATGTCAATTTMTTGGTTCGTGCATGTACATTAAAATATGATTTGGGATAGGTAACTTATTAAATTTTGATGGTATGGAGTTTGTGATTTTGGAAGAAGATAATCTTGAAACTAATAGTTTTAATGAACTAATATTTAGACCTTGAGTATATTGAAGAAATAAACACTTGGTGGTGAACAGAAAATAAAAACAATTCACTAAAGACAAATAAGAAAAAATATGGAGAATTAAATTGAAAAAACTTGAATAATGAATTGTATCCACAAGGAAAACCTATGTCACATTTCCACAATTCTAGCTGATACGTATACCTGATAAAACTGACCAACATCAATTTTTACTGGATATGATGTTTATATTACAAATGTAGGTACATAGAAAGGATGGTCGTAAAACCAACAGAGGAGATAAATTACCTACATGTAAATTACTTTATACCTACTTAATATAAAATGTGATAAATTTGAGTTAATTTAATTGCTTTTTCATCGGTCAAAAAAATTTCTATTAATTGTTTGAATATAATTTCCAAAACATTCAAAACAATTATTTAAGTCCTATAAAAAAATAGATGGAGCAAGAATTACTATACTATCAGTCTGTAGAATATTACCAATTATTCAATTATAGACCATATACACACTTTTAAACCAAAAAAAGTGATCAGACTCAAAAAGACACTAACAGTTATTTACAGTTCGATATTTGATTGAATTTTATATATATTATATGGAAAACATTTAGGTAGAACAATGATGTAGTAGGTAATAGAAAATTCAAAATTGGTCTCTCTTGGGTTCGGGGAGGTGTACAAAATTTAATTTTTGTYGTACAAAATTGTACAAAATAAAGTACATAATACTGTATCATAGAAAATGGAATTTGTTCAAAATTCATTAGAAGCAGTGCTGGGGTAACGTTACCACAGCACGGACGTCGGACATGGTAAAATCGCGTTTTCTCGGGTTCGGGGAGGTGTATAAAATTTAATTTTGGTTGTACATAATTGTACAAAATAAATTACATGATACTGAATAAGTTTAAATTTCAATTTCAACCATGGCAATGCTGGGTAACGAAGCTTATAAATTGTCTAACCACATTTCATTATTTCAATGAACAAATTGTAACACATTGAAGGAACAATGATTTTTATCAATGAAATTTAATGCACAAGTATTTATTAATTTTTATCGAACAAATTATCACGTAAAACTAAAATACATATATATACGTATATATATTTCCAATTATTATTTATTATTTGTTATTTTGTTGTTATACCTAATTTTATAGTATATTATATTATTATAAAAAACTATCAAAACTTTGTTTTTAAAACAATTTTTTAAATATTATACCTACACATAACATATACCAAAAGGCTAGCCTAATCTATTAATTTGAATTTTATAACCTTAGATAAAAATACAAACAATATTATGAATTTTGAACTACAAAAAAAWTCGCAAATATTCATGGTTTTGACGAATTTTTGTCAATATTTGAAATTCAAATGCTTATAAAAATTTAATTTGAATTTCCGGTGGACATTTTTTTTGTGATAAATATTGATAAACTTGAAAGGAATCTTATATTAAATTTTTAAATCTTAGTTTARAAAAGAMAWWTTTTTATKAATTTCTAGCTTAAAATAATTTGTGAATTTTTGTGATTTTTACGTATTTTGTCAAAATTCAAACTTTGAATGCTTATAAAAAAAAATTGTAACTATGAATTTATT